CCCCCCGCAGTATATGAGAACACGTTGGCGGCTTATATTTTGATGTAATTTTCCCCTGTTTAAACAACCTGTTTACAAAGTTCTGCAAATGACAATGAGTTGATTAGCTTTTGTTGACGCAAACGTGTTCAAAGTAGACAGCTAGGCAAATAAGACGTTTGAAACTCTCAAAGAGGGTGATACGTAAACCAGTATTGTGAAGTGAATGATTGCTAATCTCCATAAATCGTGCTTCCGCCGTCTCACCAGACGCGACATACAAATGATCATAATGTGCACATGCGTGCACATGAAGTGATTTTCGAACGAAGCAGTTAACACTTGACTGAATTAGATCGGGATTTTCGTGAGCTTCTTTGCACGTCTGTCAGCTATGTCTCAATTATGCTACATTTACATAATAGAAGTCACAATTACCGAACGCTCGTATATCTTGCCTTCAGAGTTTTGCCCAACACTCAGGTGGTTTGTAAGTGTCACACAGTACCTTTCAGTGGTTTCTATTGTTCGTATATGCGGGAATGAGTCAGCGGTTTCTCTGTGCGGTTTGGGTTTGCTATTAAATTAATTCGATTAATAATTTTTCTCCGGGTTCTCGTTGTTGATTTTGTGCGACAGAACGAGCTCCCTGGGTCGGTGCATCCCGGCAATGTTCACGTTTCATTCCTGTACTGTGGATTGTTAAACGGTTGATCCTGAGATTTTGTTAAACCAAGAAGGAATGGTTGACAAAGGTTAAATTGATCGTGGGACATAATGTATTCTTGAGGTTTGCGCAAAACTTTTAAATCGAATCTTGGTGAAATTGGACATGTGTTGTTTGCTCTGATAACAAAAGGGCAAAAGTTAATTCGTTTAAACTTTTTTGGGTGGTGGTGGCGCAGTGGTTCAGTCGCTGTCACCAGCGTGCTTTGGACCCTATGGTCCGAATTTCGAGCCCCGCAACCGTCACCTGACTTTAGTGGTAGGCAGCCCTGCTGTCGTCCGGTTCAATACCACGCCTAACCTATCGAGGCCTTATGTGGTTCTCCACTCCAAGTCTTGGAGCTCAGGTTTCCGGTTTCCACCAATGAACAGCAGGACCTCGTGACTATGAGGTTCGCATGATCTGCTGCTCATCACACTTAGCTGTGTAATAAAAAGAGCTCACCAGTTCAGTGAAAGCATTTTGCGCTCTAGATCTGGTTGATACGGAGTGGGTGTGCCTACAAAAAAACCAGGGAGAGAGTTGTCGAAAAGCCGGAATAGAAACAGGTAAGTGTAATTAGGGGGAGGGGGGCGAGAGATACAGTGAGAGGTGTTATTTTTGATGTGTAAAGAATCTGTGCGCACCTTTTATCCAGTGAAGTGGCAACCCCTCCCCAGGATCAAAATAGGGCATATTTCTTTGCCTCCGAGAACTACAAGGAACACAATTTGAGTAGAACGAATCCATTAAATTGCAATTTTAAGCGGACTTTGGCAAATGCAATTCAACCCGGCTCTGATTGACGAGTGGATACTTGGCCACCAACGAAAGCACTGAAGTAGTGTTACTTCGGGTGTGGACCAACGAAAGACTAGTACAGGTCGATTGAGTATAAGCCTGGTGAAAAAAGTTGGAAAGGCCTGTTTCACTGCATCACGGAAATTAAATTATTTTCTTATGACTGAGCTCTCCATATTTCTGCAGAAGGGGAAGTCATCCAAGGCCTGACTTGTTCCCCGGAGTTACCTGGACCAAACTTCACAAGACGATGATGGATTACACCTACTACAAAAGACAACGCTTACTATCCATATCGTTTGACGAACACTATTGTTTGGAATGTTTTCGTTTCTGGTGTTTTGGACAGTTATGCTCATAGTTTTAGATCTATTATCAAGCATACGTCATCCTTCGCTCGCTTTTCGTAATGACAAATAAGCAGCATCAACCACGATTCTCTACATAAGTTTGTTTCTGTCTGTTTCCTTCCAGGTGCACTACATTCAATCATATTTCTATTTAGGGGTTTCAACTGGAAGGGTTGCTATTGCTTTCTCGAAAACATCCAACACAGCCACATCTAAGTGTAAGAACAAAAACGGTGCCAGGGCTATTGCAACAATAAAGAATAACGGATTAGAATGGTATAGAAGAGAACGATGTGGAAAACAAACAATTGTAAGTAACCAAAAGGATGAGAGCAATAATGATTCTTGGTTGGTTTCACCTGCACGACTTTTAGCACACAATATCAGTGGGATGTGGAGGCTACTTTCGGTTTGTCTTTGCTCGTCATTGCTCGTGGCTAATCGCGTGTATAAGGTGAGGAATCTAAGGAATGGTGTTTCGAAAGCCAGTCGGATTTTGTTCGCTTTGACATGATGATCAAACCTAAAAATGAGCTTGACTTGCACGTCTTTAAACATGTCGCTGCCAGCGAATTATTCTATCTCACGTTGGTGTTTGATGAGATTGCACCTCTGTGGGCTACTAAAACAAAAACAGTGGCATTTATCCCCACAAGCGGTCAGAACAATAAGCTACTTAGTTAAGAAAAATAAATAATCCGATAATATTTTCCATTTTAATTTTTACTTCCTTTCATTGAATATTGAAAGATGCAATTTTCAAGAAGGGGGAAGTGGTCATTCAAAGGGTTGCCGTCCAGCAAATAATAGGGAATTTAGGCGATGATGATGGGATTCAAACACATGTCCTCCGGGGTGATAATTTGGTAACCTTACCACCGGGTCACCACCAGCCAGTCCCCATGAGATAGAAACTCGAAGTCTTTGGAATTATTGAAAACTTTTTATTTACAAACACACATTACGTTATATACACAAGATAAGTAGGCGGCGGATCAAGGTTTACAAGGCTGCTCTTGGGGCATACCGTGCCTAAGGGTTTTCTAGTAATACATCAATCCGTAGGGATCGGATAGGCTAAAATGTTTTTTCACTTGATATCATGTGGTTATATTCCGCTTTTCTTCTGATGTCATCCCTGACTTAATGGATTTGATAGGCAATAAGTTGCTCAGTTTTCCAGAGTATTAATTTCATTTTTCTGCCATAAGTTTATTACTGCAGATAGTTTTAATAGGTATGCGTTAAAAATTGATAAATTTGCTGATAAGATAGTTTCTATCCTTGTCGCATCGATGAACATTCTCAGGCTGCTGTAAATGAAACCAGAATTGGAGCACAAGTAAATATAGATGTTTTTACACCGTTTTTTATTATCGATTATGGTAATGTAAAATAAACTTTCAAGAAGGGGTCTGTAGTCATACAAAGGCTGTCTGGGGAAGTACAAGAAGTGGGCAGATGGGCGGCGGCGGTGGGGTTCGCACTCAGAATCTAATTGTGGCCATTTTGAAAACCGTACCATTCTATTGGCGCTGTCTGAGCGGTTTCACCGAACGCACCTGTTTCCTGTTTGATGTATCTCAGGACATCGCTCAAGACACTGAGTATATCTGCGACTCATTTCATCAACGAAACGAACTCTAACGTTTTCGCACGTCAGTTTTCAAGGATCACATTTAAAGCATGTCGCATCCTTGGTAGGCTGGCAAAATCATAGTCAGTTTACGGTGGTTTACTCCCCAATGCACTTCTGTCAATATTTCTTTCTATCGGTTATGACTAAAATCACGTGCAAACACCACCAAGTCGCTGACATTGGTTCATCGACCGTCCAACTCGTTTCAAACTCACGTGCGCCTAACATACTCTTTGGAACACTGGTTGATACGTATCTGTATAGCAAAGAGATAGACTGTCAGCATCATCTAGATGAGCAATAACTCAGTTTAATCGTACAAATAGAAAAAGGAGCGTACATCTGACGATTAAGTACCATCGTTGATCATGTCACAAACTCCGGATCCAAATCCTTATTTGATTGCTCGACCGATTGATGAAGCTGTGATTTGTCGTATTGAATCACAGACCGAGGTGGCAAGCAGTGCTGCCTTCCAGTCTGTGGACGATCAGTACTACGCCGGAAAGCTGACAAGCACTGAAGTAGCTGTCTACAAGGCTCGTTACATGAAGCTGCATGAAGCTTTACGCAGGTGAGTGGACAATGTGAGCTCTAAATTTATTGGTTATGTGAGTATGGATAAGAAGGGAACAGGGTACCACCGTTTGTCACATTCAAACTTCCGGTTTTATCTACCATGAGAATCCCATCAAGACTCCTGCATTAGGATTTTGAACGGGTATTTAGAACTGAGTACGGTGATTTTATGGTCAGTGATCGATGTCTGTACATTATCATGTGCATGAATAAACGGGGTGATCGTGAAAGTAGACAATCCGTTTAGCTGTGACTGCCATAATCGAGTACACATTTATACCCACTGAATCACCCCAATAACCTGATCAGAGTTCGCGCATAAATGACTTTGGATAGTGACAATAAATCAGTATCACGCATATCTGTATGAAAAGACTGCGAAAACGGATTATTGGATAAACTTACTTGCCAAGTATTTAACGAATATATGTTTAAATGGGCGGCATTATTCTGGCTAAAATCGAAGCATGGAAGCTACCGGAATTCTCAGTTACATCATAGAGGATCTGTATTTGCTCACGAATAATTTCTTCGGGTCGCATCTACAACATGTTCTGTTTGCGCTCTTTTCTGGAGTCTGTAATTATCTCAAAATTCTGGCATTCGTTTCAAAACAGTATGATTCTCATCGTTATCGTTCGCTTGATCTTGGTAACAAACATTTTATTGATATTTTCTACCGCGAAGTAAACAATACCCCTTGTATTTTATCTGTGCATCATACGCAAGCGATTTGTCAATTTTGTGAGTAAAGTTGACTTGAAAATCATGCTTGACCCAGCAAATCTAGCTGTTCTGTAGTATGATCGGTAACAATTTACTGTTAGTTTCAATAATACACTGTCCTCCGACTGATTTGCTAGAGTTGAACTACTTCTTCTTGCTCAGGTAGTGAAAAGATATTTTTGAAGTACTTCAGGCAACATGATGTCTAAATCAATGTGAATCAACGTCTGTGCACTGCTGTTTGAATATCCAGATAGACTTTCTCTGACTATGGTCATATTGTGAAACTGTATCGATTTTATCCACAGTTCAATGATGTCTAGGAGGTGATAGGATGAATGATATATTTATTGGGAGTCACTTTCTCCCTTGTACAAATTGCTTTCTTGGAAAATTACCCGAAAATAACATTGTCTACCGATACTGGGCTATAAGATTCTAATGAACGGAAACGGTTTTGATCAGGCAAAAACATCGTCTAACCGAGTTGATGCGCACACTGAGTGTTATTATTTTTACTTCGAAAACCAAAAAATCCATTTAGCAAACTGAATTTAGAGAACAAAAAGCACTTTCACCTTTCAACTTTAAGCACCGAATATTAGAGTAGTCAACCGGACTTTTTTATTGCTACTGGGCAAACTTCATATTAGTATTTGCTGCCGGATTCATTTTCATCCAAGAAACGAACGATACTGGTATATTGTGAATCCAGTTCCAATTTTTGCAGAAGGTTTCTCGGTAGATAAACTCGGTAAATGTAATTGTTTGGATATGTTCAAGTAATTCGCAGATGAGACCAACTGTTTTAGTCCATGGCGCCCCTCAATGACCCAACGCATAAATGAAGCTTTAAGGTTGCGTGATACGCGATGTGGGAATCTATTTTCTTTCTCCAGAGTGATTACCTTGCGCCATGTAAGGTCAGAGTAAGAGTATTCTACTAAGCCCTATCCGTGGCCTCAGGCGAAAGGAAATGACTGGAATCCGTGAACTTTATAATAATGCACTGTCACGCGTGAATCACACTCAGGTCAATAATCCATATGCGTCAGTGTAGTTCGCATCTCTCTTTTGGACAGTATGCAACGCGTAGCTATTTCAATTCGTTTATTCCCCGTGATTTCAGAATTATTTCTATCTAAAACGTAAGAGTTGTAAAACCTATGCATTTTGCAGTTAGTTATTCCAAGTGTAAAATGCTTGGGTTTTACAACTTTCGAATTGAGCGCTTGAGTATTTCGTAATAAATTAACTTTTCCTCTCGCCGCGTGGTTAGGTCCTAGTAAAATTGCTTAGAAAACAATATAGGGTGTTTCTATTTGCATCAGCTCTGTCAATCTTTAAATGACTATATATTGACCCAGACGATGTAGATGTAACCAATACGACGGATCAATAGTTTGTCTATCCTAAAACTTGGTGTTGTTATCACTCAGATGATTTGATGCAAGACTTCAAGAATCAAATCACCGCAATAACTAATCCGCATGCACCTTATTATTGTTATTTCGTAAAAGTTAGATTTAGGCTAGCGGATAATGGATTTGTGGTTCGTTGCAAACGAATCGAAAATGTGTACACAGAGAACCCAGACAAGGGTTTTACATTGCAACTCAAAGTTGAAGTTCCAAAAATATTTGACGGAGCGCGTTGTCCATCACAATGTCTCAAAGCAATGCGCAGTGAATAGATTCAGAGTTCTATTCAGACTGACCGGAATTGACATTCGCGATGAATGGAACTATTTCAATGATGACTTTTTCATGACTTTTCATATCAAGAAGGTCTACGGTGAAACAAACAGCAAAGGTTATTACTGTTACCCACTACAACTTTGTGACATCCCATCTCACTGTTCGGTATCTCAATCCCTTCTTTCTGTTTCTATTTTTGTTGTATTGACACCACGCTCGTTCACAAGCTGGTGATATATATATATATATAACATGAGCTTGCCCATATCTGCGCAAAAAATCGTCTTTCACAGTGAATTAATCGTTGCTGATTGATGTAAAAAGGAACAAAATTGTTTGGATGAGTATGAGAACAATTCAGTTCTGTTTACATTTGAGCGTCCGTTTTGGAGTTAGCTTAAACCGTTTTCATTGACTCCAATTAGGAATTCTTGATACCAAGCTCGTCGGCAAGCATACAGAAGGCTCGTTTGGCATTTGCTATCTTGAGACATCTGTGGTGCCGTCGCGATATCCTGTTGTTTATAATAGTCGAGTGTATGCCACGGCAGTTCGCGGAGCAGAAACATGGCCATTAAGGAAGCAGAATAAAGATAAATTGTCGGTGTTTGAACACCACTGTCGACGCAACATTGCACGAATCTGGTGGGGCAGCCGAACGAGCAATGCTGAGGTTGGAAGTAGAGTTTCAGGTAATTGTATCTTTCTCTTACTGTTCGTCCAACTGGGCAATCGAAAAATAGCAATCAAAAATCGGCGCACGAAAGTGAGTGGTTGTCCAAACTGAACTGAACTAAGCTGAAACTCTTGATACCCAATTAGTGTTGGGTGCTGACATTAGTTTTTCTTTCCGAAAAATTCCAAGTCGTCAAAATGTGTCATTTTTCAGATATATACTGGCGCATCTTCTATTCGCACTCCTCTACGAAAGAAGACAAATTTTTACCATGAATCAGAATAACTAGAGCATGTGTCATGCATATTACCAGCTATGCTTTCTCATTGTGGGATGTTCGCGAAGTCATAATAAAGACCTGGTATTATAGCATGAAATACTTAACATATGATTAAGGCAAGTCGCATTTTGCTTCCCGATTTAGGGGCTAGGAGGTCATTGTTATCCATGGTTTCCGACACGGTGTTTCATGGTTGAATTTGACGAACAGTTTAACTGCACTCTAGAGAATTCCCCAACTTTTCTTTGCTTCTGTCTTACACATCATCATTGCTGAATCAAACGGGTATATGAAAAATATAGTAATCAACACACCACACATATCTGAGAACCAAATTAATGGTTATGGAGAAGACAAATAAAAAAAGGTCCATTTTGTTTTTCAGGGTACATAGGTCATACCGTTTAAGATTAGACCATTATTAAGGCTCGTGTTCCGCTTGATTGACACACCAAAGGGAGGGTGTAATAGCTGAGAATAGTTGACAAAATCTGCAACTGAGAAACTACTGCTTTCAGAAACAGCTGAATTTTGGGAAGCAGTTATCTGAAAAATGCTTTCAGATGGGAGTACTCGAATGGAAACGGGTCTATAAACGAAACTGTCCAATTGATGCAAACAGGTTGATGAGTCACTTTCAGCGAAATTTGCTTTGACACGAAGCTTAAAATATGAAATGATATAACGGTAAATCATTCCGTTTATATTGGTACTGAATTCCAAACAGTAATATCACCTAGTAACTTTGGCCGGAGTATCGTGTAATGAGGATGAGTGAATATCCTGTCTATTGTCGCATAGATTTTTTCACCATGAACCCATATCGAATACTGGTGCGGAGTAATGCACCGATGCAATTATATAACAATGATTATTTATAGTCTATCAGGGTTACTGCATTTTGCGTGCAATTGTACGCGTTAAGCGAACATAACGGAGGATCATAAACGTCATTCTTCTGTTAGATCAACACATGTAATCCTATCAGTTAACTTATGGTTGCTGACTGATCCTAACCGACTTAACTACTTAGGATCCCCAGCTGTTGCTAATAGGGTGTATCCATAGTGGGTGTTTATCATTCACATTACTTGCTTAGGAGTTTGCCAGGCGCTCCAGGGAAGCCAAGTGATTGTTCACGAACTGAAACGTATTACAGGTGTTGCTTCTGATCGATCCAGGCTTCTGTAATTTAATCACTTTTTGGAAAACCAGATGAGGTTTTCGTTTCTTTCAGTTTCATTTTGACAAACAATAAGCATACACTTTCGTGCGCCGGTTTTGATACCTGTCCTTTGGACACCTATTTAGATTAACAGTAGGGCTGTTAAATCTAAATACCTATC